TGGTGTGGCGGTGCGGTGAATCCCGAGAGCGCCCCATGCGAGCCGCAGTGCTAGGCAGTGAGCAGTGAAAGCAGGGTGCCAAGCGGTGTCCCAGTGGGGGGCAGCCAAGGGCCTCTTTGCCAATGCGCCTGGAGCACTGCAGAACAGGCTTGATGCTCCGGGACCATCTGGCCTCAACGTTTCTCCTCCTCTGCCCGTGGGTGTCTCGTCTAGTGCCTGCCGTGCCAGGGCTTGCTGTGTATCCCATGGCGCAGCGGCGCTGGGCTCGCTGGGACTTGCTCGCCGAGTGACCCCAGGCGCACATGGAAGGGGGGCTGTAACCCTGGGGAACAGTGGTCCCGTGCTGGGCGAAGGAAGCGAGGGGTGCTTGAGGCCCAGGCAGGCAGGGCGCTCCGTGGGGCGATGGACGTAGCCGGGCTAGAGCCCGGCGCGGAGAGGGCAAGCGACACTTGGGGAGTAAGAGGCCAAGTTGGGGCCGGAGAGGACTCTGCCTCTGCTGCTCGGGAATTCTTACCGTGTCCTACAGGTAACACGGGAGCCAACCAGGCCAGTGCAGCAAACCTGGCTCTGCGGCCAGCGAGCGCCTCCGCCTGTTCCTTGGGGGGTGGGCTCTCCTGCCAGCAGAGACCTGTGTAGGGCCAGCTGAAAGGGGTCCCCGAGGAGCTGAGGATGGCCTGAGAGCCTTCGTGTCCGGCGCTGGTCTCTGCTGCTGTGCCCTGCTGCAGGCCAGGGGCTAAGCACTGGGGCAGAGGCGGGGGCTAAGGCCTGCCCTGAGACCTATGGGGCATTGGCTTACGTGGCGTGGTGGGCTCTCCTGCCAGCAGAGACCTGTGTAGGGCCAGCTGAAAGGGGTCCCCGAGGAGCTGAGGATGGCCTGAGAGCCTTCGTGTCCGGCGCTGGTCTCTGCTGCTGTGCCCTGCTGCAGGCCAGGGGCTAAGCACTGGGGCAGAGGCGGGGGCTAAGGCCTGCCCTGAGACCTATGGGGCATTGGCTTACGTGGCGTGCGGCTCAGTCCAGCCTGTTCTCCCCTGAGCCCAGGAGAATCCTCGTGGGGTGGCGGGAATGTCGCTGCAGGAGCCCTTGGGAGGGTGGGAGCTGGGGAGGGGCTTTCTCCACACACCCCCTGCCGCTCCCCCCCAGAGGTGGCAGGAAGAGGGGTTACGCACCTCCTTCAGGTGGGAGGTGTCCATCACACAGAGCTGCGGGGGATAGAAAAGTGGCGCTAACCCTGCCCTGAGGAGACCCCTCATTTCTGCACGAAATCCCGTGCGCCTGAGCAGACAGAGGCGGCGCCATGGTGCTGTGTATGGCCTGTGCGCGTCTGCTTTGCATCCCGCCCCCAAAATGCTAGCCTAGGGCCGGCCCTGGCCCTGCTGGGGGAAGGTTGGGCTTCCAGCCCGCCCCTGTGCCTTTGCCCCCCCACGGGGCGTTACAGGGCATGGGGTCACGCAGGCCAAGAGCTCCCTTGTGCTCTCCTGAGCGCCCCCAGGACTACGCAGGAATCGGGGTGCCTCCGGGCCAGGCTACTGTGTAGGAACCAAGGGTTGTTTCCGGGCAGCCGGCCTCTCCTGGCTACTGTGGCCCTGGCCCTGCTCTGCTCATTGTCTCTCTTTAAACACGCCCCTTCGCTTGTCACGTTTCACGAGGGGAAGTGGGAGTCGTAGAGCGTCTGACGGAAACTGAGCTCAGTGCCACAGCCCAGCCCGG